TTCTATTGCAAATCAAAGCCCCAGCTCTGCCTAAGTGCTTTGAAATCGGACCCTCCTAAACACACCTGGAGCCATCGGCAGAGCCAGCCTTGGATCCGGACTGACGGACACACAAAGCTGAGGGCAAAGGTGAGCTTTTCATTTCTTCCGCAGGCCCTGGGATTCCTTTGAAATCTTCATGAACTGCTCCTTCAGGGTCCATACAAACAGCTTGAGGAAATCCTAAAATAGTGTTTTCTCCAGATAAGCATCCGGTCAAAGCGAGAGCCCTACGAGCTGTCCGCTGGAGAGGAACCTGCCCTAGTCGGGAGAAGGTCGCCAGGACAGTGTGCGCGGCGCGCTGAGAAGGGTTCGGGGGAGGGCGCCTCTGGGGTCGCAGACCTTGCGGGCGCTGAGGGGGCGAAGGAGTCGGTGGAATGCTCATCGCGGTGCTAACTTCCTGCTGGGGACTAGATCTCCACAGCCGCACAGGACCGCGAGAGCAATCTTTCTTTTCTTCTTTTTATTTTAAAGAGGAAAAAAATAAAAATAAAAATAACAATTACACAGAGTTTCAGAACAGGTTACTAGGAGAGTTACAATAATTCATACATCGTGTATCATTATCTTCATAGTAGCTCTTCAGAACACAAGATATAGGCGTGTTCTCTGGTCTGAACGATATGAGCTCAGACCTTTCTTTTCAATGAACTAAGAGAAACTAGCTGTACAACCATCTCAGCTGTCTTGTGTATACGTATATTTTTTTCCTTTTTCCCTTTCTTCTTTTCCCCTTTTCCCCATCACAGTTTGTCTTCTGTTTTGAGCGGTTTCTTCCCAATTCACAATATCTGTTGTACATTTTGGATCTTATTTACTTGTTTAGTGTCTCTCACTAGGGAAGACAGTATGATATTTACACGCATGGGCCTGATTTATTTTGCTTATGAGTATGGTCTCGAGTTGCATCCATTTACCTATAAAAGTATCAAGTTTATCTTTCTTTATGGCTGAATAGGAGTCCATTTTATATCTATAGATGTATATATCTATATATCTATATATATGTGTATATATATATGCATCTATATATATACATAAAAACATCCTTTTAACATTTCTTACCTCCAGTTACATCAAGTGAATTTTTACAACTTTCAACCTTATGCTAATTCGCTTTCATGAACAAGCTGTATTTTGATGTATTTATGTTACATGTTAACAAATTCTGGTTTATTTATAGGTTATAAAAGTACTTCTTTTAATAGCAATAGGGAAATGTTTGCTTTTGTACTTACCTATTAGTTAAGTGAGATCCTGTGGAAAGCTGTGTAACCGTGCACAAGCCAAGCGCCGCTCGCACGGCTGTCAGACAGGCGTGTGGGCTGGAGTTACTTCCTTCCGCCACTGGGGCCCAGTTCCCTCACAGCCGTTGTGAGGGGTGAAAGGCACTCTCTACAGAGCACGTGCCTCAGAGGCAGAGAATCTGGCACCTAGTGAGGGGCTCGATGCGTAATTTTTCCCATAAAAATGCAAATGTGTGGGCTGGGGGTGCAGTTCAGGGGTTGAGCTTGTCCCTGGCATGTGTGAGGCCCTGGATTTGATCCCAGCACTGCGGAAAAGAACAAACCGGAAAAATTTTACACTAGACAAAAAGTATTTCAAGCGTGGATCCTCAGAAGTAGAGAGGTGTGGATCAAGCCTGGACCTTCAAGCGGGGGTAGGGAGTTGTGGAATAGGACAGGGGTTCTTGGGGTCCACGGCTCCTTGGCTGTGACTGATGTCACTGGACATGGTCACAAAGGCAATCCTCAGCCTGAGGTGTCCACTGATGAACATCCCCTTCTCATAACGACCAGGCAACATTTCTGCAAGCCCTTCACCCCTGGCCTGTGGACCCTTTCTCTCTGAATTCTCCACAGATTCTCCCTGAACTCTTCCCAAAACTTAGTGGCTGACGCTGCCCAGCCCCCGGGACCCAGGTGGTGCTGAGCCTGCGGTCCTCGTCCTGCGCAGGGACTGGCTGTGGGAGTGGTGGCATTATGCACCTTTGTTCTCCAGTGAACCAGTCCAGGAGGGGCTCACTAGAGTCCCTACAAGGCCTACTCAGTCTCAGTGGACCCCCGCTCCCCTTTCACAGAGGAAGCTGTTTCTTATTTGGTGAAGATAAATCTAAGGCTTGAAATGCAGTGTTACAGCTGAAAAAGCCAGAGCCATGGAAACAGGACTGGAATACCCTTGTTCATCCCAGGACTCAGCGACTGCCCCAGGTCTATATGGTCAGTGGCTCACCTCTCAGCTGCTGAGCTCCCACCAGACACTGGTCAGGAAGCTCAACGTTGGACATACAGATGGAAAGAGGGTGGAAAGAGCGTGTCACCTGCTCAGGCCAGGAGAGTACGGTGTCCCAGAGCCTGGGGTAGACACCTCAAGGAAGGGAGCAGAGCCAGCCTGTAGGGCTAATCGTCATCATAACTGCAGTTTATTGAGCACTTACCGTGTGCCACTCCCAAGGCTGAGGACCTGATGTGATCAGCTCGTTTCATTATCAAAGCACATCTGTGAGTCTGGCCTGATTCTCTTCCTGTGTCTCCAAAGAGGACATGCAAAGGAACTGGCATGAGAAAGAATAGTGTTTGCCAGCTAGACCAGTGAGGGGAGAACGTCCAGGCACAGGAAGAAAGGGTACCTGGGTGGGGCCCTGCAGACCCTGTGGTACACATGGAAACAGGCAGGGACTGGGTGTGATCACACTCATCTAAGCAAGGGAGCAGTAAGAGGAAAAGCCTTCAGATGTGGGTGGCACACTTGAAGCAGACCTAAGTAGTAGTGCTGTGTCAGCAGGAGGGGGCCGTGTTAGCTGGCTGGCCTTCAAGGTGGTGCACCTCCCCTGTGGGTGGGTGTTAGGGTTTAGATCTAAAGTATCTGCCAGGGATATAGCTCAGAGGCATAAGCACCTGCCTGGCAAGTTCAGGGTCCTGAATTCAATTCTCAGTACCAAGAAAGTAAATAAAATATAGTAAAATATCCTTCCAAAGTCTTGTGTTCAGCCATGGGTCAGCAGTTGGAAAAGGTGGGTAGCTGGGGGCTGACCTGGAGGCTATGTTCTTGTCCCCTGTTCCTCTCCTCTCTCTCTGCTTCCTGGTTGCCATTGGGGGAGCAGCTCTCCTCCCTCATACCTCTCTGCCATGACATCCTGCCTTGGAGCCAGCAGACCATGGACTGAATCCTCCCAAACCATGAGCCAGATAACCCTCTCCCCCTTGACGTTGTAGGTGTTGGATACTTTGTCCTCGTGACAAGAAAGGGACTAACACAGTAAGGGATGAAAAGAGCACAGGGAAAGGCAGACTAAAGCACAGGCCAGGGTGGATGACGCATGGAGACAAGTTTACACCCTCTCCTGATGAGAGGAAAGTGAGGACCTGGGGACGAGGTAAGGCTGTGAGCCCAGGGCTTGGGAGCAGGGAGACAGGTCAGTAATGAGAGAAGGAAGGGATGTGACCTGCCTGTTCTGCTTCCAAGGTCAGCAACAAGCCCACTGATGGGTAATGGGATCCAGGGCTTTCTCAGGGGCCTCAAGAGCAGTTCAGGTTGGGAATGATTAGCAAGGACGACTGTCAAGTGCTGATGACACGTCCCTTCTGATCGTGGTGGTGGAGTGCTCAGCGGAGGAAGGGAAGGACCGCTCTAGAGAGAGGTGGCGAGTGGACGTGGAGGGACCAGCTGAGCATCCCAGGAAAGCTTGGTTAGAGCGGAGGAGAAGTGGTGAGCAGGTGATGGAAGAGGTGACTGCAGGTTCCGCCTTCAGGCATCTGCGGGAGGGCATGGACTTATTCCGAGCTGCACCAGGCCCCTGTGTCCTCGTAACTGGGAGGTAGATTCAGTCCCCTGCCCCAAAACTTGGTAGGGCAGGCGTGCTGCCTAGCAGTGGAATAATCTTCCTTTGGAGCGTTTCAATCCCCCGTCAAGGAAGTTGTGCAAGACGTTTGAGAAGCCCAGTGAGGTGGCTTCTTGGTCCCTCTCAGCACTAGGAGTCCATGGATGTGTGACATGTGGAGTAGAGGGAGCCAGTTTGGGCTTTGATGTGGACTGTCCTCCTTTCTCAGAATGAAAATCTGACCCTAAGTTTCAGAATGATTTAGGCAGTTCAATCGCTATGAAAACAGCTCTAGGTTATTTTTAAATTCCAGGACTTTTGTTGAGATTGGCAAAAGCTGTGCTCTAGATGAAGAACAGGACACTGGACGTAGGGAGCCGGTGTGGTGTGCCTGTGACCCCTGTGTCCACTCTGCGTGGGGCCTCTTTCCGCCTTCGTGCCCACCCTGCTCAGCGTGGGTCCGGGCAGGAGGAGGAGCCGCTGTTCTTCACTTCACCCGCTGGTTTGGGTCCAAACAAGGAAGACATCTCTCCTGGATAAAGACAGGGATGTTGCGGCTTGCAGAAGGACAGAGGGACATTTCCTGTGGCAGCAGCTGTGGGTCAAAGGGCAAAGGGGGCTTGGAGGGCAGGCCCCAGACACGTGGTGTGGCTCTGAGCGAGAGCTCCCACCATGTGGAGCAACTATGACGAGTTCCTGCAGCGGCCGCACACCACACCAGGACCATGTGACACTCAGCGGCTAGGCTGGGCCCAGACCCAGCCTCAGAGGCCCGGCAGCCGTGCCTCGTGTGCCTGCTCTTCTGAGTCCCAAAGGCTGATGTTCTCAGAAGGTCAGCCCAGCAGCTGGTCCTCTCTGGCCCCCAGTTGTCCCTCACGGGGAGGACCCTGGGGCAGCATCCTTTACTGCATGCGGTGGCCAGTGTTGGAAACCTGATCCCATAGAAATGACCTGGGTAGGGACTTCCCTTCTCATCCCTTACCTTTCAAAGCCTGGATGACATTTGGGAGATCATTCAAACTCTGAGAACCTAGGTTTTCTCATGTCTGAAACAAAGATTTTTTTTTCCATTCCTGGGAATCTATTCCAAGAAAATTCTCCCAAATCCAAACACAACATTATAAAGTTTTTGATTTATTGCTTCATTATTTAGAGTCATTATGAAATAGATTAATTTTATCTACCAAATGGAATATTATACATCCCAAAAAATGTTCATCAAGTGTTTTATTGAACAAGAATGTGTATGCTCTACTGTCAAGAGTAAGAGACAATATACAATACTACATATATATATATTTAGAGTATGAGCTCAACTATAGAAAATGTGTAGAAAAATGTCTGTGAGAATTCAAATTATTATCAAGGGCTTACACTTAGCTTTATGTCAGTACGTATATAACATTTTAAGTAAAAGAATTTAATGCTGAGGTAAACAATAATTCTTTTCCCTTTAAAAGCAGAACATATAACCTTCAAGTTTGAGAAATGTTTATTTAGAGCTCTGCACAGCACTGGGCGTAGAGATAAAAATTTTAGAACTGTGGATGTCTCGGTGGAGATTGATTAATGGGTAGGACCGGCTAGGACAAGCCCGTGATGTAAGACAAGCTGGGACCCAGGGATTAGGCCTGGGAAGCCCCAATGTCTAGGGAATGAGCGAGAAAGAGGAGCCAGAGAAGGGGCCCAGCCGTGGCAGCCGTCGCAGGGGGTGGTGACCCAGACAGACTGGACCGGAAAGGAGAGGGAAGGAGCGAGCTGAGAGGGCCTCCGAAGGGATTCAGAGCTGCACACTGTGAGAGATGAGGGGAACGGAAAATAAAGGTTACCTGAAGCTCTGTGGCTTGGGAGATGCCAAAGGCGGGGAAGCACAAACGGAAGTGTGGCAGGAGGGAGGAAAGGTCGGGTCTGGCGTAGTGCGCCCGTTGCCAACTTGCCCTAGAGGAAGTCTGCTCTGAGCAGGGGGGTCACCTGCAGCCTCCACGGAGGCCGCTGGGGTTTGTCAGCAGGTCAGGTCCAGGTCACCCTGCCCGGCAGCTCCCAGCCAGTGCCTGAGCTGGAGGAGGCCTGAGAGCCGCACCGTCCCACCCTCTGGACCACCTCTCACTGGCGACCTCAGAGCTGTAGTGCCTTCCTTCTCCCCGCCCCACTCAGACGGCAGGCCTGGTCGAGGCGCCTGCCCTCTGTGGTCTCTCCCTCCTCCTCTTCTGCCAGCATCACTCCCAGAAATCACCTGTCCTTTGATCTCCATCTTGGCATCTGCTTTCTGGGGGATCCAGCACAGGTGATGCCTGTGTATCCAGGTAGAATTCTACAGTCTTGAGGCAGCCAGGACTGAGGGATGAGGGAACCCCAAGAGCCCCCCTGACAGTGTAAGCAGAGAGAGGAATGGGGGACCAAGCTCATACTTGGGAGGAAGTGAAGCCTTGTAACTGGGAAGTGAATTCCAGGTAGGAAAGAGAAAGTTATTGAATAAGAGAAGGAAAACCCAGCAAGGATCATTAGAAGCCATGACGGAGGGGAGAGGTTTCCAAGGACGGAGGAACACCCCAAAGACAGACACCCCAAAGAAAATCTGAGGGCTGCGGATTTGCTCAGTGGCACAGGGCCTGCCTGGCCAACTCAAGGTCCTGAGTTCAATTCCCTGTGCCAAAAAAAGGACATTTAATCAACAAAGAAAATCTGAATCAGGACTGAGATCCTGCAGGTAGAATTGGAAGATGCGCTGATTGTCAAGGGGTCATGTCCAAGAAAGAACAGGAATAGGCGCCAACTTTACGAGAATGAAGAAGGAAATTTAGTAGGAAGTAACAGGAGGTAATATCAGTGGACCTGTATTGAAAATGTTTGACTGTGAAGGGAAGGAAAGAAACTGAGCTAAGCAGAAGCAGTGACGTCCAAGGCCCGTGTGTGTGTGTGTGTGTGTGTGTGTGTGTGTGTGTGTGTGTGTGTGTAGGGCTTCAGGAAGACTGGACCATTTCTGGAAGAGGTCTTTAAAAGTAACCAGAGGGTATTAAAATCCCAGGAGCAGTGGGGAGAGGACAGCTACTGAGACCAGGAGTGGGGTTAGATTTCAGGAAGAAGAGAGAGCAGCCTCTTCTCTGAAACTTGGACAGCAGAGATGGGTGGGACGAAGGGCGACCCGTGGCGGTGAAGACCTGCACACTTCCGAGGCCCTCAGCACTGTGAGGTGAGAAGCCCACCTCCAGAATAAGAGAACGGGGTGGACAGACATTTGTTCGCAGGGAGTGAGGGTCAGGAGTTGCTGCTGTGCCTGTGGAAATATCCCTTACCCAGTGGGGCGGGCAGAGTAAAATCTCACCTTCAATGCATGAGACTGTGTCACTGGTCCAAAGGACTCTATGACTCTGATGGCCAAGAAAGGACTAATCATGGTTGACTTTGCCCTCACAGCTTGAGTTCTCCCAGCTCAACCATAACCTCGGGACCCTGAAAAACAGACTGGAATCGCGAGGTCTGCTTTGGCCAAGTCAATACTCATAGAAATAGAAAAAGAGCTCGTCTGTAGCTGTCCCTTTGCGATGTCTGGGTGGCATTGTCCTCTGTCACAGCCATGGGCGGTGGAGGTGATAAAATGCCTGAGGAGCACTGTGTGCGGCATCAGCACTGGGGGTGGGAGAAGAAAGGCTCTGTGTGCTCGGGCTGGGTTGTGCGGTGCTATTCAGGCTGAGAGCTATTACAGCCTTCAGCACTGCAGCTACAAAGGAGACCTTTATCAAGAACATTCCTGCCAAAAAATCGCTATTCCTGCAAGTCTGAAGGTGCACGGGCCCAGCGTGTTTTTCCCGTGGAAATAATTGCTTCAGTAGTGGGTGCAGCCTGACAGCATCTCAGGGACACGACCAGAAGATCAGAGCAGGGGCAGGACCGGAATGCTCCTCGGTGACATTACGTGCAGCCAAGTGTGGCTCGGAGCCGGTTCCTGAGAGGTTCATGCTGGAGTCAGGGAGACAAAAGCTACACAACTGGGAGAAGGAGCCAGGAGGTTTCAGCACAGCCGCCAGTTGATTTGTCTGCAAGTGTGACTTGGGATTGCAAACGCCGCCCATGTCCTTGAACAGGACAGAGCTCTTTATGTAGGGGACCTTGAAGTGTGACTTGGAGACACCTTAAGAGGTCCACACCACAAGCCAGGTCTCCTTGCGTCGGGTTGTGCAGGTGCTGGCTGCTGGCTTCCAAGCCAGTTTTATTCCCGAGCTGGCAAGGAATGCAGGAGTGTCACAAGCAGAGATTTATAATACTTTCTGATCCCACCCAGCTCCAAGTCACTATATGAATAATCTTTCTCATAGCATACGAGTCCTCTACAAGCAGCCCTGGCCAAGATCAACGGACTGAACAAGCCGAAGGAAAACTTTTTCTCCCTTTTTAAGAAATCATTTTTGCTGAAGTTTTATAAACCTCATAAAAATTAAGGGCCAGTTTGAATTTGGGAGAAAGACTTGCTTTATCTGGACTCATTTGCCAAAAACATTTAAATGAGCACATACTGGATGTAAACATGCCAGGGAAATAGCATCATTAAGCATGCTTGGCCTTCCGGACCCCCAAGCCGAGGGTCCTGCAGGTGTTAACAGACTCCTGGGAACAGGCTGGGAGGGAGGATGGGTGGCTGCGGCAGCAGCCCTCGGGCCGGGTGCCGGGGACCCCAGCCGGGTCCTGACCATGATCCCCTTGGGAGCCCACAGCAATGCCCATTGTTAGGAGCAGGTATCAGCTGGGAAGAGGCCATTCTGGAGCGGAGCCCACCTTTCCAAAATCCCACGGTGGCCCTGGGTTTCGTTCTCCGCAAGTGTGTTTATTCAGCCTAGTAAAAACATGAGAAAGGGGAATAAATCTCTGCCTGCCCCAAAATGCTTCTCACCATAGCTCAAAACCATAAACCTGCAGAAAGAGGAGCAGCACCAGAGGCAGCGGCGCTCCCCGAGCAGCAGGCAGGGAAGCCCCTCACAATCAGCCCGGACGGTTCTAGAAGGTGCAAAATTATTAGCAGTGGGGCTTTGCGTGTGTGTGTGTGTGTGTGTGTGTGTGTGTGTGTGTTTAAAGGGGGGAGGTTGATAATAAAAACCATGTGCTCCGCCTGCTTGGCCGTATAAAGTACAGCGGCCTGTGCCTTTAAGTGCTGTGAAGGGATTAATTGTCAATTTCTGAATGTGGCAAGTTTATTGATCTTGTTAACAGCAGCGGAGCATGGGCCGTCGGTTTCCATGGCAGGAAAGAAAAACAACCGTGCACCCTGTTATTCCTCGGACACCACTATTGGTTTTGGAGCCCAAGTTAAGGGACATAAGGGTGGGTATGTGCGACATTATTCCTTTCCACCTGTCCAATTTCGTACCTGTCCTGAAGCTTCCAGACAGGAAGCTGCTGTTCATCGTGGGCTGTGGTCGTTCTTTTTCAGACAGAACGTGCACTTGTGCATATTTGTATGCGTGCCAAACGTGGCCAGCAGGGACCATGCAGCCCTTTCCCAGGTGAGGCAGCTGAGGGTGGAGAGGACCCCAGCCGGGGTCCCGTGGTCGGGCACATGAGAGGGGAGGACACAAGGCCTCGTTACAGGGCCGAGGTTCAGACCCAGGTCTGCACATCCACGCACAGTGCCTTCCACCAGCTCCGCATACGGTGCTCTCATCTCCCTGCCCTCAGGCGTGTCTCCGTCACCAACTAAGTGCCCACCAGTGCGCACCTCAGTGTTGCAGATGGAGCAGTGGGCAGGGCCGGTGACGTCCCTGCTGATGGAGGGCTGACGTTTTAAAGCAGATTAGCCTGGCTTTCAGTAAACACCTGCTTTCCCAGGCGTCATGGTTACGTTCTATTTTGGCTGAACACTGTGCGTGTGAGTTACCTGTGTCTTTCCAGATAACGTAGGGTCTTGTACAGGCCGGGCTGTTACCTTCCTCCTTGTCACTTTCTGCCCCACAGAATAAAGAGCGTCTGGCCTTTTCTGTGCTGCACCAAGTCTTTGGTCAGCTTTCTCCCCTCTGACAAAATACCTGAGCTCGGCAACTTGATGAGGGAAGGTTGATTTTGGCTGATGGCTGCAGAGGTCTCAGTCCGTGGTTGCTTGCCTTTGGGGTTTGGGGCCTGTGGTCGGGCACATGGGAGACAAAGCCTACTCACCTTGTGGTAGCGGAGGGGCTGGATGGAGGGGTGGTGTCCCCTTCGGTGGCACACCGCAGGGACCAAACCTGCTCCCAGCTGACCTCCTCTGGTCCAGGTTCCACTGACAGTGCCACGGGCTGGAGACCAACCTGCAGCACATTGGCTTTTGGGGTCATACCAGATCCAAACTCCGGCAGTCTTACCTTAGGGTGATTCAGGGCTTCATTCGGAGCCGTTCTCGCTTCCATTGTCGAGCCCTTTGTCATGCCTGCATCATCTCACTGATGCTGAAATGAGCCAACTGCAAGCCCAGGTTGCGGATAACAAGTTGTGGCTAAGCACCTTCCTTACGTTTCTGTGGTCAGTGAGAGGCAGAGCTGGGATTCTGGTAGTGGTTGGACTCCAAAATCAAATTTGTCTATATAGGAAGTTGGGGTTGAGCGGAGAGGGAATCTTAGCCCATCTGAAATACATAGAGAAGATGAGAGGTACTGTTGCATGATACACATGGTAACTAAGGTGCTAGGGAACTAGGGTCATTTTCAGTCCTCTCTGCATTAACCGGCCAGCTGCTTCGACCTTCCTACCGAAGGTCCCTTTGTATCTTGGCTGCCTGCCCCTCCCCTGTTCTGTGGTCTTCTTATATGGTGTCTTTCTATTTTTTTTCAGTAGCGTGATTTTCAAAGGGATCCCTCTGTTCCTACAAAGGTGACAAATAAGAGATTGTCCAAAGCCAGGAGGGAGAGGGGAGACTCATAAATGGGCTTTGAAACGTGCAGCTTAGCACAGAGGATTGGGACGGGACGTTGGCATTCGTGAAGACACGTGGCGGCCACCGCCAGAGCGGGAACCCTGGGCTGAAAAGGAGCCTGCCCACATCCCCAGGACTCCTGCAAACTCAGGAGAGCTGGCCCCTCCCTTCGGTTTTGGTGGCAGAGTTCCCACGTTAAGTAATGTGGATTTAATCTTCCTTTACATTCTCAAATCTACACAGATACGCATTTATTATCATCTGTGATAAGCAGTAATGCTCACAGAAAGCAGTTTCCAGGGTGTGTATTTTTAGAAAGACACAAAAAAAGTGGTGAGGAGAGACCCACAGCATAGCTGAGATTATTAAAATGAAAACAAAAGCAAGAAATCAAAGAACAGGATTCCTAATCCTTGTGGAGCCTTTATCACTCAGTCTGTCTACAGTAAGTGACAATGTCTGAATGGGAAGGTTTGGGGAGCAAACGAGGTGCCAGTGTCGCCTAGGCTGTGCTCGGCTGCTGCGTATGATGACTGGGCCCCTCGGCTGGTGTGGCAGTCGGAGAGCGGCCTGCCAGCCAGCTGTGCCCTGTGGGCGCGTGTTGACTGGAGGGACGGCAGCTGCTCTTGTTGGGCATCGCTGGGGTGGGTCTGAGTGACACCTTGCCACACTGTGCCGCAGTGTGTGGGAACAACGTGGCTTACAGTGTGGAAGCCAAAATTAAAATCCGTAGTCTCCCTCCTATCAGCACCTGTCAGCTCTTTTTACTCAAAGGAACATGACAGCAATTATTGCTTCCTAGTGCTACAGAGCCTGAGACAACCCAAGGGATGACCCAGAAGAGAAGGATCTAGACGTATCACTCCCTCTCCTAGGGCAGTGGCCGGAGTGCGTTACTCTGTGTGCTCACAGCAGCTCCTCCTGCTTCTACAGCCAGGCTGCCCCTCTCTCCAGCTATTGACGCCTTCTAGGGGCACCAGCACTGCACTCAGGGCTGGGCCACCAATGGGCAGGTGAGCCAGGCCAGGCCAGTTTAATCTGTCCATGACATTTTTCTAATATGGAATTGTCAAAAGACTTCACCTGTGTTTCTTAGATGCGTAATTGTAATATAAATCTGGAAATGCCTATGGCCATGAAATCCAGAGGCTGAGAGGAGAGAATGACAGGATTATCTGATTCCATGGATGGAATTTTCCCTGAGCCAGGCCCACACCCATGCATTGGTTGGGGAGCCAATAAATACTCCTTTATTGCTTTAAGCAAGATCAACTTGAAATTTTGTAATTTGCAACCAAAAGGGTCCCTAGTGATATGAGTGATTAGATCAAGCCCAGAGAAATGTGACCTTTAGTATTCTGGCAATTAGGAAAAGCATTCGGAAAAGCCATAAGTGAAACAGCATTTTAAAAAAATGCATATGAGTATCCTTCAAGACCATGAAGGCAAGTTTGAAGTCTTTGAAAAGAAATACAGACTGCAGAATGCAGTTCTTGTGGGAGAACCAATCTCCACAGTGTTTTCTTGCAGAACCCAGAGTATCACCTACCTTTCACAGCGGGGCTTTAAAATCTAGTTTGTTCTGGACACAGCAGTTTTCTAGAACATTTTTTACTGTGCTTTCAAGTATATTTTCATTGTAGGTAAATGCCATTCTAAGGTGCATTACTCTGAAAGTGGAAAACGATTACACTAACACTGTGACGCCTTTCACCTGTGGTGTGTCACTTTCTTTCCTAAGTTAGTAGGCACCATTTAGCTGGCCTTGATAATAATAATTAAAGAAACAAACCAGAAGGCTAAGCAGTGTGGGTGTAGACAAGCTCTGCTGATAGACATCAACCAGAGGTTAAAAAGACAAGAATGTACAGACTCAACCCACTTTTTATCCTTGAAAATGTTAACAATTGGGGTAATCTCTGCGTCTGTGTCCAAACTTTCTGTAAGAGGAAAAACTATGTGAAAAGCTGGCCAGAACTTAGTTTCTTTAAAAAAAAAAAATGTATTAGTACATGTTTGCCATATATAATGGTCACATTCATCATGGGGAATTTGCACTTGTACGTAATATATCTCAATTCTTTCTTTTCATTCTCCTCCCCTCCCTTCAATGCTTTTTTCCCTCCCCGTTTACGAAAGCCTTGTTTCCATTTTTATTCCTCTCATTCTCTTTTCTTTAAATCCCTTTTCCCTTCCCCCACCCAGAACACACAGGTTTTGAAGGCAGGAAAATGGCTGACATTCAGTCTTGTGCAGATATATTAAAGAGAGAAAGGCTGTGTGTTTTCCTTGTCCAGATGGAGTGTATTTATCCCGCGTCCCAGGGGTGCTGAAGGAACGTCTATTGTAGGTCACATGATAGACTTCAGGGGAGGAGTAGGAGAGTGTTTGCCAATGCCTATCAGAGAGCACAAAGGAGCTCAAAAGTTAGACGTGAATAAACTCGAACTGGTTCATGGGATATGAATTACATCAGAATCCACGAACTCCCAGCTGGCTTCGTGGGTACCGGTCTGCTCCTCCGCCGTCCTGCACCCGAGGGCCTCGCAGGAGCACAGGGCAGTGACCAACGGCGAACAAACAGGCTCCGGGCTGTGCTGTCATTAGAGTGCAGGAGGAGGGCCCCAGAGCTCCGCGTCCTGGAGTTAAGTGTCTTCCCAGAGGAAATCAGGGCTGCCCAGTGGCCTTTGTTCCGGACTGGAGTCTAGAGTGTGTTCGTTTCCTCTCGATGACACCAAGGAAGAAAGAAAAAATAGGTCGTCCTGGTGAGAAGCAGGTGACTAGAAAGCTTTTTCTCTGTGACAATCAAATGAAGTCTTACTCCGGCCCACAGGAGCGATGTTATTTAGCCCATGGGTGTCACAAAGGTTCCTCCTTTTCTCTGATGGACATCTCTTTTCCCTAGAGACCTCAGGGATCTATCCAGGGAGCCTAACTTCAACCTCTTCCACTTATATGGGTGATAATGGCCTTCACGTGTAATTCAAGTCATCCTCAAAGCAACCTGAACACGTATGAGAACCAGAAAGTTAAGATTTTCCTGAAGATGTGCAGATAGAGGGAACTAGGATTCAAACAGCAATCTGGGTCTGAAGTCCACATCTTAACCCAGACCTTAAGCCCAGTGCAATAGGTAGTTCACAGGCACACAGGCAAAGTTGCTGCTTCTGACACGAAGCCCTTTGAAGAGAGTACAGTGATAGCTAAACTGATCTAGCATAGATTTGGGTATGGATAACGGAAATGCCGCCCTTGGTGTGGGTGACACCACCCTAAAGGCTTGCACCTGGGTGGGATAAAAGAGAAAGGCAAACTTCCTGCTGTCTCTTGCTGTTTTGCTGCCTCCTGCCTGCCCTGCCATGGACTGCTTCTCTTCTGCGATGCCACCCTGCCCGGGGGCAGCAAACTATGGACTAAAACCTCTACAAACTATGAGCTGAAATAAACCTTCCTTCCTTTAATTTTGGTTGTCAGGTATTTTGTCTCAGCAGCAAGAAAAGTAACTAAGTGCCCAACCATAAAATAAAAACTTTGTTTTATTTTATAAACAACTGACCAGGTACCATCATACTGGGACTATATATTACAAAGGGCAAAGTGAACTCTTTGCATCTGTGTCATCACCTTTTATGGGTGAGGAGAAGCTTGCTGGTGTGGAAGCAGAAGAAATGACAATCTGTGGCTCCTTCAACAGAGACCCCAGGGCTCACCCACTCTCCTGATGGTTTCTGGTCTGGTCTCTGAAATTCCTAGGGAACGCCCCTTTCCCTGTAGTGCCCTCTCACACACGATGTCCTCCGGGCAACCCTCCTTCTCATCCCTAACCACCCGCTCAACAGCTAATCACCACAGAGTCTCTCCTTCCCTATCCCCACCCTTGCTTCCCTGACTCCCTCTCCACTTCTCTCCTACCCTATTCTCAGCACAAGACTTAGTGTCAAGCGATGCCTTTTCCGGTCCAAGCAAAAGACAGGTCTGGAGTCCTTCACCTCCATATCTCAGTAGCAGGTAGCAACTGTGAGCAACATCTGCTGGTTAGAGGGTTGGACAGGTAGATGGTGGAGCCTTTGACCATGTAGGCTCTTCCAGTGTGTTGAGGTTGTCAAATTCCTTGAGGAATCATTTTGATAGCATCTTTTTTTTTCCCTTTCAAACTCCTTAATGCAATCTTGGGTGGGGCTTTATGAAGCATGGGGATAGTTGCCCATTCTTTTCATGTTGAGATTTAATTCTTCCACCCCTTTTCCTCCTTCCAGTTATGCTGTTGGTGAGGCAGGGATGAGACATAGGGCCTTGTGCATGCTAAGCATCAGGGTGCCACTGAGCTATGTCCCCAGCCCCTTCCAGATATTCTCTAGACAAACAAGCAAAGAAAGAAATTTCTTTGCATCCAAGCAATTTATATCTGATCCTGTGACTGCTAAGAGGTGAACTGCAGATGGGTTCCAGTGTCCTCTCCAAGGATACTGTGTGTTCACAGCAAGAACGCTGGGCTGGACATCAGGAGGGCTGGCTTTAGCCCTAGTATCCTTTCCAATATGCCATGAAATGCTGGGCATGCCACTTGACCTCTCTGTGCCTTGTTTTTGCATCTATAAGTAGAAACAGTTGGAATAATGACTAAATTTCAAATTTCTGGTAACTCCAAAGATTCATGGATATATCTTGGGAGTTTGTCCTGTGAGGAATATTGCAAAAGATAAGAGAATGTCACATAGGGCAAGGCTGGTCCCCTTATCCCTACTTCATCCATAATAAGTGTTCTAGCTAATTGATTTTTAGCTGCATCTCAGTTACTTTCTCGTTATTAGGACGAAATACCCAACACCCTCAAGTTAAAGGAGAAAAGATTTATTTTGGCTCACAGTTTGTAGAGGTTTCAGCCCATGGTTGGCTGGCTCCAAGGCAGGGCAGCATGGCAGAGGAGAAGTAGTCCATGGCAGGGCAGGCAGAAAGCAGTGAGACTTCCTGCTTCTTTCCCTTTTTATTCCATCTAAACTACCAGGCTATTGGTTGTACCCATGGTGGATCTTCTCTCTTCAGTAAATCCTTCATCCACACCCAAAACTATGGTAAACTAAGCAGTGGACTGACCCACTGTCACACACCCATGATCCAGTCACTCCCAAAAGCCCCATCCATGAGCACATGAGGCTTGGGGAGGGTGTCTAGATATAAGCCATAACAGACTGCACCACATCTTTAAATCTCTCCTGAAAACCTACTCCAAAAATTTTTTTTAAAAAATTGAAAACACCTGGACTGACTCTAGATGCCTCCCAACGTATCTGATATCTGATCACATATATTATCTATTTGATCTTCACTTACAGTAAGACTGGGGACTTTATTCCCTTCATGTTGCTCCTGGGAGAAATTTCTTATAAGAGAATCATCTTTTCCTCCCATGTGCTACCTGGCCCAATGAGGCACCAACTGCACAGGCTGGACCAATTCTCCTGTGGACATTTTCTGCCCAGATGTACCCATCACCAGTGGGCCCAGGAGAGACATCTGCATCTCCACTGTGGGCTAATCACTTCAGGAAAGGCTGACGGCCCGGGACAGCCCTGTGCTTGAGAGTTGCCCTCTGTTAACACTGTCATCTACCCAAGCACAGACGGTTCAGCCACTGTGAACAAGACATGGTAGTCCCGATGACATCTGCTGTGTGGTATGAGTGACGCCCTGTAGGGACAAGTCAGCCGAGTCCCTCCGTGCCTCCGCCACAGCCCTTTGCAGCGTCTCTTCTCCGCGCCGTCCCAGGACAGGTGACACCAGGGCCGGTGAGACTGTCCAGGCGGCCACTGGCCCGCAGCAGCTTGGCTGCAGCAATGGAAGGCATTTCTCGGGGCCTCGCATTCAGAGCAAGAAACGCCCGGACGGAGCAGCTCATCTGGTATTTTTCAAGATGGTTTTCAGTTTTTCAAACAGCGAACCTTTTTTCCTCCCAAAATAAATCTGATGCCTCAATTTATAAAACAGATAAAAAAGAGGGAATGATGGGAGGAATTCTACCACACTACACTGCCCTCCTCCCGTCAGGCCCAGCAAGGCATGCGCTCGGGGACCCTCAGCCCCCCAGCCTGTCTGAACCCCTTTGGTTTCCTCCCCACCCCTTTCTACTCTGCTCTGCTGCCTGCCTGAACCCAGAGAAGTTCTGTGCTCCGTCCTCTCTGGAGGGCTGCAGCGGCACCGTCGGCTCTTGTATGCTCTCTGCGTCTGGATGGTGGTGATGAGCTATGCTCATTTTGTAAAACTCCTTGAGCTCCGTCTTTTGCATATTTATCGTGGTGCACATTTATGTGTCTATTACACATTAGTTGGAACAGCTTGCCCTCCACGAATCTGAATTACTGTGGGAAATCAAACTCAACACTCTTAAAACTGGAAGGAATCTAACAAAAAGTATCTAGTGGGCTCATGAAATATTTTACAGAAAGACCAGAGCCAAAGAAGTGAAGTGATTGGCTATAAATCACAGAGCTTTTAATTGGATAAGCCAACATTAGTCCTTACATCTTTTAGCTGTGCTAATAAAGATATTCTAAATAAACCCTTTACTAACAGGCTAAAATCAGCTCGCTCTGAAGCCAAACTTTTGTACTAGGAACAAAGGCTGCATAAAATGAAGAGCAAGAACAATGCTGTCAGTGTTTTCAGAGACAGCATCTGAGAACATTCTTCGAGGTAAAATCCCCCGCCGCCCGCTTCATGAGATCGCCATCTGGTTTGGCTTCCGAGGCTTCTGGCGAAGTTGTGTGTTGGGAGAAATCTCCCTCCCGGCCTGCATTTGAAATACAGGCATGGTGCTGATGACACCCAGGGCAGCGATGGGCTGAGCTCTGAGGACAGCGCTAGCGACCTCGTGGGTCATGTGTCAGTTTCTGAATTAGTTTCCTAGTGACCAAATCACTAGAGCGTTAGTGGAAACAAATTTGCTGTCTTGCGGTTTTAGAAGTCAGAAGTCTGAAGCTGGCCTTAGGGACTGAAAGTAAGGTCCCCGGTGGGGAAGGTGTTGGGGAGAACCCTCTTCTTTACCTTTTCACTATATTGCATGGCCGGAGTCCCCTTCCCTTCCAGCCTGGTGAGCTTTTTAAATCTTGTCTGCCTCCTTCTGAATTTCAATGATGCTCTGACTCCATTGGGCCCATTCAGTACCACCCAGGCAATCCAGGACCAGATCCTACTTTAAGGTCGGCTGATAGATCTCAGTTCCATTTACTAAGTTGCTAAATTTCTCTGGCTGGGCTCAAACTTGCAATCCTCCTGTCTCAGCCTCCCAGAGTGCTGGGATGACAGGCCCATGCCACCACACCTGGTGCAGACCGCCTGCATTTCTGAAGCTGGGCAGGGCAGAGACAAGCTTACCAGGCAGATGTTGAGACCCACTGTGGTGTCTGTCCTCATACCATGGAAAACAGGCTTCCAGACCCAGAATTTCTGGGGCTGAGTTGTGGAGGACAGCTTGAGAACGTAGGTGGGTTTTGTTTCAAACAGTAAAGCGTTAAGATATAAAGGATTGGCAGTAGGTGGACGGCAGCTGCTACCCTGTGGCAAATTCTTGCAAAGAGCTTCAATTCCCAGTCAGTCTCACAGTTGCCCCTCATGTACAAGCTGTGGCGTCAGCCTCGCGCTCCCGTGTGGGCCCTCAGCCTGCCTGTGTCACACGCTTGTCGCAGAGCTGTTTCCTCCCCCTCAGGGGCTGCAGCCTTTGCGGGTGATCGCTGTTCACGGACGCACTGCCCCCAGCTGGGCGCGGCGCAGCAGGAAGTGTGTGCGCGAGGCTGGCGCTGGGTGCGGTAGACCCGTCTGACTAAGACTTTGTGAGCCTACAATAAGTTTCCCTCAGTAATGAAGAAAGAGTTTCGCCACCAGGGTGAGAAGCAAACGTCTGCATGACACCAACTGTAGGAAGCAGTGCTGTGCAGTAAACAGGAAGTCTGGTGGGATTCTGCCCTTCTGCAGTTCCTAAAGCGCTGTCACACTCTCTGCTGCTCGGGGATACGTTCGCTCATGGGGCCAGTGCCGCACCAGGGTGTGCTGTCCTTGGCGGGTGCACTCCTGGGACCGCGCTGTGCAGTGGCCGAGGAGAAGGCTGTAACCCCGCATGTAGGAGTGTGCTCCTCTGAGCCATGTTCCGCCCACAGTGTTCAGACTCACCACGCCAGGAGACAGGCAGCTGAGGCTCAGGGTCTGCCAGTCTTGCCAGAGCCCCAGGGCTTATCTTGCTTTCAGCTCCAGGAATCGTGTGTTGTTGGAAAGCACGGAAGCCCTACGGATGTGGCTGGCTGCTCAGCGCCTGGTGAACCAGGACGGCTATGGCCTGAGAAGGATGCCGCAGGTCTCTGAGCCTCTGAACTCATCCCAGGCCACCAAAGGCACGGCCTGGCCCCAGACTGGAGCCTTTGCCTTAGAACAGCAGTTGCCAGAGCGAAAGTAAAGTGTTCAGCTCCCTGTTGGTTGTAAAGGGTGAGATAATGATAATAAATTAGTTGCCTGGCCCACTGTTGACGGTTTACGTATTGAGTAATATTTTTCTTACAATAACTTTAGCTAACAGTTATTTATAAAATAATTAAAAATGTCAGGCAACACATGCTTATTTTTCTTAGATAACTTTGTGGGTTTGTTGTTGAAAATAAAGACCAAATATTTAGGTTTATAATTCAGCTAAGTGACTGCTTAAATAATTGAAAAGGGCTGAGAGCAAAATTCAGTGGAAGAAGGAGAGCAGGGTGTGTGAGGCCCTGGGTTTGCTCCCTAGCACCACCAGTACGTAAAAGAGTACTGAAAAGTGATCACAGTGCTTTCTTAGTAATTAGTGACAGTTGAGTTAAAGTCAGCTCTGTTGACTTTTGCTTCGGTGACTTAAGGAATGAATTTATCGCTGTCTCCAGTTATTAATAATCAAGGACTTGATCTACAGATAGTTGGTTCCCAATGATTTCATATCAGCACCGCTCCATCTGACCAAGAAGCATGCTCAGCCTTCTTTCAGTTTATAAGTAAAGTTACAAAATCGCCTGGAAAAGTATCAAAGCTCCTGCCGGTGCACGCAGTCCCTCTGCGGACTCCGTCCACGCAGGTGCCCCAGGGTCCAGACCCAGGGTAGAGGCAGCGCCATGTCCCAGGGGACAGGTCTTTTCAGGAGCATGCGATGATTAGGCTGAGTTATTTGGGAAAAACAGTCGCTGTGTTTATTTTTACAAGCCAGATGCCTGCATGTAGTGCATTCTTCTACAAAACAAAAGGGGCCTGGATAAAAGGGAGGTTCAGGGTCACAGATGAACCAGAAGGGTATTTTGCAGTTTTATGGGTAGAAATTCTCCATTGCTTTTACCTTCTGCAGTGATCTTGGAAAGAGCAGCTCGGCTGCTTTGTGCACAAAAAGTAAACTAGGGAGACGTTTTATGTCCAGGGTGTGGCAAACCCTGAAACTAGGACTTGGTGCGTGCATGGAGAGGGTGACAAGGACAGTGTGGGGACGGGCACGTGGGCTGCAGGAGGTTCCGTCTCACTCCTGAGGAGGCTGGCAGAGCCTGTGGCGGGGCCTTCTTGATGCACGCTAAGCAACAACCAGGCGTGGATACGTGAAACTGATTAGGAGAAGGGGATAAGAGACGCACGCAAGGACCCCTCGCACTGTGCAGCGGAGAGGGGCGGGCGCGTTTCTGACCATCAGGCCGGGAGACTCTGGTTCAGCCCACACATTTACCGAGCACCCACTGTGGCCTGCACTGTTCCGGGAAGGCAGGGTGCCGCCCTGGAAGAGAGAAGCCTGTGCTGCTGCTCATGGGGCTTCCGCTCTTGAAGGAGAGCAGAGGCCTGTTCTGCGCACGTAGGAGTCTGCCGCGCGAGACCCGCTCAGCTGTGAAAGCAGTGTGCAGTGCCAAAAAAGATGTGAGATGAAGAGGAGGGGGAGGAAGAGCAGGAAAGAGGAAGAGGAGAAGAGCAAGAAGAGGAGGAGGTGGAGGAGAGCCAGAGTGCAGAACGAGAGGAAACCGTAACCTGCAAGGCGGTTCCTTCTCCTGGCTGGGCTGGCGAAAGCCTCTCCGAACGGTCACGCTTGGGCAAAGACTTGACCGAAGTGACCCTCGAATCCACCCAGGAGCCGGGGGGAGCAGGACGGGGCCAGCGTGAAGTCACCGCGACAGAGCGTGCTGGGCGCTCAGGAATCTGAGCGAGGCGTCGGGCAAAGCCCTAAGCTGACTGTCGCCTCCTGCGGACCCGTGAGACCCCTTGGTCTCGGGTGTGAGCGGCGCAGTCCTCAGGACCTGCTGTCCCTGCTCGGGCAGGAGGGAGCCGAAGGAGGCCGGAGAGGCTGCAGGGGCGGCGAGGGGACAGAGCGCCCGCCGGTAGGTAGCCGGGCCCCGCCCGCATGTCTCCTGTGTTTGTTTTAACAGCTCTGCTCCGGCACCACAAGAAGGAGTGTGGAAAGTGCGGATCAGACTGTTTGTTCAGTTTTTACATTTCGGGTGATTGGGTGAAACGTTAAATGAAACCAAATCTCGGTTCCTGTCAATGTGAAGCAAAGAAAGAAAATAAACCCCCTGCCCTGCTGTAGACAGCGGAAGAGGAGACGGCAGCCGCGGCCCCTCCCAGCTCCCTCCTTCCCCACGAGGACCCCCCGGCCCAGCCCCGACCGGAGTCTCCAGACCTGCAGGTTGCATCGCGCTGCCTCGTGTTGAGCTTCTGCTGGGTGGTGGCGTCCTGTGCGGCTATGTGGTGTGGCGGGCCGTGCACAAAGGTCTGTGCCAGCCTGGAGGGCTTCCCGGGGGAGGAGAGGAGCAGTGACCGACTTTGTGCTCTCGGCATCTGTTCACTGTTCTGTGAAATTCCTTGCAGAGCTCTGGTCTAGAACAGGCTTCTCTACCTCAGTGCTGCCGACTAGGCCAACTGAGAGAGTGTGGGGCATCCCAGCCTCCCTGTCCCCGCTCCTAACAGTCGAGGTTTCCATAGGCTCACATGCCTCCACACGCTGCCTGCTGGCCCCCACTGTGCAGTCACTGCTGGGAGTGTCCTTGGTGCAGAGGAGCGGTCCCAGCCCTGCTGGTGTCCTTCCAGGCCCAGGTATTCAGGAGGGAAGGGAGGGAGGGAGGG